CTGAAGTGCCAGGGTTTGATTCCTGGCTTTGGCTCCAGTCCCAGCTTCCTGCCAATGCAGACCTTGGAAGTAGTGATGACTCAAGCACTTAGACCCCTGCTACCCACATGGGAGACTTGGCTGAAGTTTCCGGCTTCAACCTGGCCTGCTCTTGGTTGTTGTGGGCATTTGGGGAATAAATCAGCCTATGGAAACTGTCTCCCTTTCTACCTCTCAAATAAAATTTAAAGTATATATAGTTTGTTCTTTATTGTTTAAAACCAGATACCTTTGTTGTTAAAGTTGTGTGAAGTCTTACATGCTTTCTATAATTTATCAGGAAAGGATAGAAATAGAAACTCATACTGAAAATAGTTAATAAATATCAATACTTTACATTTAAGCAGACAAACTAAAAACCATGAATAGTCGAATTTATATTGAGAATTGAACTCAAGTATACTAATCTCATGCCCTAGTCCCTATCCTTCATCAGTAACACCTGATTTTTACCCTTTGATTAATGATAGAATAACATTCCAACAGATATTAAAAGAAATACTTTTGTCTCTGTCCTTATATTATGTGGGTTTTCCTCTAATTTGCATATTCATAATATGAGGCCAAGATTGTTCAGAATTACACTGCTGTTTGCCAAGAAGATCTGGTGGTAGAGTGGAGTAATGTATCAACACCCCCACACAGTGTTTCATATGTGTGCTCAGCTTAAGAGCACAAATTGTGCTGCTGTCTTGTTTCTTCCTGACCCAAACTATGTAGTTAAGCCATATGTTAAGCTTCATCTCAGCTGTGGCTATGAGCCAAATGGTTCTTTGGTTTAGTTTCTTGCTTAAAAAAAAGATCTCTTGAGATTCAGGCTGACATAGAAAAATTTATTTTCCCCTGGAAATTTGATGAAGATTTTCAGCCTGAAAACTTAGTGCTCCTTTGACTTTAGGATTCTTAATAAATGTGTGAATATTTCTTAACAACTTATTAGTTTTTAATAATTCCTTCAGAAAAGTCAGATGATTTAGGTACCCTTTTGGACATACTGGTGAGATAAGGTGATTTAGATGCTAAAGATTATCTAGTTTTTTCATTGAATCAAAAAAATTTTTAATGAGGCAGTTTGAAATCTATTTCCTCTATTTTTGTTATTTTTTTCCATTAAATATAGAATATCAACCCTGAAGCATTGTTAAAATCTTACAATCCCTCTCCCTAACACAGCTATTCCTATATTACATATGACTTAGTTGTTACTTTATTTATATATGAAGTTGTAATTGTGAAGTACATGACATTTTGGATTCTGCTGTTTTTGTCCTGAAAGTACAAAACTTGAGCAGGAAGCTAATGGCCCCTGGTCTCTGATTGCCTTTCTTTTGAATTGTGTCTGAGGACGACAGAGGTGATTTCAGAACAACAGAGTAGCAAATCATAACCAAAAAGTCCTTATTGAATTGTTTTTTTTTTTTTTTAATTTTTTTTTTAAATGTTTGGGTTAAAGGGCTTTTTTTTTTTTTTTTTTTTTTTTTTTTTTTGACAGGCAGAGTGGACAGTGAGAGAGAGAGACAGAGAGAAAGGTCTTCCTTTGCCGCTGGTTCACCCTCCAATGGCCGCCGCGGCCGGCGCACCGCGCTGATCCGATGGCAGGAGCCAGGAGCCAGGTGCTTTTCCTGGTCTCCCATGGGGTGCAGGGCCCAAGCACCTGGGCCATCCTCCACTGCACTCCCTGGCCACAGCAGAGGGCTGGCCTGGAAGGGGGGCAACCGGGACAGAATCCGGCGCCCCGACCGGGACTAGAACCCGGTTTGCCGGCGCCGCTAGGCGGAGGATTAGCCTAGTGAGCCGCGGCGCCGGCCTGAATTGTTTTTGAAAACAAATTAACATGTTTTAAAAGATTTATTTCATTTATTTGAAAGGCAGAGTAAGAGAGAGAGAGATCTTCCATTCACTGGTTCACTTCCCAAATGGCCACAACAAGCCAGGAACCTGGAACTCCATCTGGGTCTTCCACATGGGTGGCATCTTTGGCAGTAGCTAGGCCATCCTTGTCAGCCAGGAGCTGAAATGGCAGTAGAGCAATAAGGACTCAAACCATTGTTCATAAGGGATGCGGGCATTACAGGTGTTGGCTCCATCATCTGCACCACAATACTGGCCCTACAAACCAACATTTTGTCATTTTGTGATATGCAATTAAATGCCTCTTAGAACCTTGACAGTCAGATATATTTTTTTTTTAGAACCTGGAATTTTTTTTTTTTTTTTTTTTTTTTTTTTGGACAGGCAGAGTTAGACAGTGAGAGAGAGAGAGACAGAGAGAAAGGTCTTCCTTTTACCATTGGTTCACTTTCCAATGGCCGCTGCGGCCGGTGTGCTGTGGCCGGCGCACCACGCTGATCCAAAGCCAGGAGCCAGGTGCTTCTCCTGGTCTCCCATGCGGGTGCAGGGCCCAAGCACTTGGGCCATCCTCCACTGCCTTCCCAGGCCACAGCAGAGAGCTGGCCTGGAAGAGGGGCAACTGGGACAGAACCCGGCGCCCCGACCAGGACTAGAACCTGGGATGCTGGCGCCGCAGGCGGAGGATTAGCCTATTGAGCCGCGGCGCCGCCCTAGAACCTGGAATTTAAAAAATTATGGTGAAAATATATGTAACATAAAATTTACCACTTAAAACATTTTTAACTGTACAGTTGACTGACATTAAGTACATTCATACTGTTGTACAATCTTCATCACCATCCATTTCCAGAATATTTCCATCTTCCCGTACTAAAACTCCATACCCATTAAACACTAACTCCCTATTATCCTTGGCCTATAGTCCTTGGCAACCAACATTCTACCTTCTATCTCTATGAATTTGACTACTCTAGGTGTATCATATAGTCGAATTATGTAATATTTGTCTTATAACTTTGCTTATTGCATAATATTGCTTATTTCACTTAGCCCAAAACCTTCAAGTTTTATTTATGTTGTAGTGTGTGTCACAATTCCCTTCTTTTTTAAGCCTCAGTAGTGTTCTGTTCTATGTATATAGTGCCTTTTATTTATTCATGTGGTAATGTACACTTGGATTGCTGTTGTCTTTTGGCTACTATGAATAAGTTACTTCAGTTTTAAAGTAATTTTAAAGATTTTGTCAGGGCCAGCGTTGTGGTGTAGTGGGTAAAGATGCTGCCCGCCATGCCAGCATCCCATATGGGCACTGCTTCAACTCCCGGCTGCTCCACTTCCAACCCAGTTCTTTGCTGTGGCCTGGGAAAGCAGTGGAAGATGGCCCAAGTCCTTTGGCCCGTGTACCTGCATGGGAGACCCAGAAGAAGCTCCTGGCTCCTGGCTTCAGATCAGCCCAGCTCTGGCTGTTGTGGCCATCTGGGGAGTGAACCAGCGGATGGAAGACTTCTCTCACTCTACCTCTCCTTCTCTCTGTGTATAACTCTTTCAAATAAATACATAACTATTAAAATAAGATTTTGTTTATATTTTTTTTTTTTGCTGTCACAGTATTTGAATTGTAGTTAAGAGCTTAGAAATTTCTCTCTCTCTCTCTCTTTTTTTAAGGGGGAAGGTCCCAAGTGGGCCCCTGCCTGCTGTCCTCCCTGGCTCCAGAAACTTCTACATAGGCCTTCACTGCTTTCTGGTTACTCTCCTCTTTGTGGGACTGCTGAGCATCCTTACCCTGCTTCTTCGTTATTGTGTTCTTTTGTTTAATCAGGCAGAGTTAGACAGTGAGAGAGAGAGACAGAGAGAGAGGTCTTCCTTCCATTGGTTCACCCCCCCAAATGGCTGCTACGGCTGGCACGCTGCACCGATCCGAAGCCAGGAGTCAGGTGCTTCCTCCTCATCTCCCGTGCAGGTGCAGGGCCCAAGCACTTGGGCCATCCTCCACTGCACTCCCAGGCCACAGCAGAGAGCTGGACTGGAAGAGGAGCAACCGGGATAGAACCTGTACCCCAACCGGGACTAGAACCCGGTGTGCCAGCGCCTTAGGCGGAGGATTAGCCTAGTGAGCTGTGGCACTGGCCTAGAAGTTTCTTTCTCAACAACTCCCAGCTTTAAGTTTTCTGTTATTCACTTTGAATAGTATATAACGAAATCTACCTAAACAGACCTTGTTCTATCATTACACTGATTTTTTTTTGGGGGGGGGCATAATCATTTTAAAATGACATGTCTTCCTACTTTCTTTTCCTTGCTTCCTTATTTATTTATTTGAAAGTCAAAGTTACACAGAGAGGAAGAGAGAGAGAGAGAGAATCTTCCATCTGCTGGTTCACTCCCCAAATGGCTGCAATGGCCAGTGCTGGGCCAAGCCAAAGTCAGGAGCCAGGAGCTTCTTCTGGATCTCCCACATGGGTGCAGGGAACCAAGAAGTGAAGCAGCCCAGCACCCATATGGAATGCAGGTGTCTCAGGTGGTGGCTTTACCTGCTATACCACAATGCTGGCCCCTCCTAGCTTATTTCTATAATACAAGTATGTGCTACTTATTTATATTGCAGTGATTTATCTTCTGTAATAACATGAAAATATACAATTATTGTAGAAAGGTTGGGAAATATAAAAAGACTTTCTTTGTAGTAACAGCTATTAACTTCTTGATTGTAGTCCAGTTTTTCTGTATACAGGTAAATACATACTTACTCTTAAATGTGGAATTATCCAGTATAATTTTCACTTGATATATTAATATTTTCTTATCATTAAATGTCTTCTTCTACTGTTTAAGTAATATCATAATTTATAAAATAATTTATTTGAATTAGTCATTGGACTTCTGGTTGCTTTAAAATTATACTTAAATAAATTCTGTTGTAATTATATGCAATAATTATTAACATGTGGATACAGGTATTGTTTGAAATGTTGTTTTAAAAATATACTTCTTTCCTTTCTGTGTCTTTAGGCAAAAATAATATAGTAAAAACTGTTACTTTAAATTATGAAATTGGTTGAGCTAATTAACTAAAATCATGTGTTTGTGTGTATATGTTCTTTTTCTCTAAGCAGGTTGGCAACATTGTACAAATCACCAAGTCAGAAGGAATCCACAGTACTGTTTGAAATCACAGTCAGTATTTTTTGATTAGAGTGGGATTTTGGTGTTAGTGGGCAGTAATTATCTGAAGAGAGCATTTACAAATTGCTTCTGTTAACTTCTGTAGGCAGCAAGCATATTTGAGGACAGCTTTTAATGCTTAGAACATTATCCCCAAAATAGTAATATACACAGAATACTGTAGTCACAATTGGACTGAAATTTATTCTTCAGAACAGAGGAAATAACTTATTTTTGGGTTGTGTGTTCCATGGCATATGTGATATCTGGATATTAAAGACTTTTAAAGTGAAAGTTGCTGATGATTTTCAGAAAAGAAAAAATATCAACATTACTTGTTTTGGTCTGTAGATAATACAGATGTATTATAGCCACCAAATGTAGCCCACTTTAAAATGTTAATTTTTCTATGAATTTACATCATAGAACACACACTTTTGGCTGAAACGTGTACTTATTGGTAGTGTTTAAACAAGTATATCATTGCATCTCATTTTTGTAAGAACAAAAACAGAAATGGAAAAATATTTTGCCTCAGGATTGTCCATTAAAGTCTTTTGCACTGTCCAGGTGCATTTACAATGTGTTAGTTGGAAAATTTTGTTTTAGAATAATTATGAAAATAAATTTATAAAGAACCTAAGTTAGTACTTCCCTTCACTTGTTCCAACAGATGTAATTATGAAGTTTGTTAGGATTGTACTTATAATTATTTTTTAATATAACCATGTATTTTATAATGCATTGTAGTTCTGTTTGTGTGTAAATAAGTGTGTGTGTGTGTGTGTAAATACTCTAATACAACTCTGGTTTGGATTTATATCTAATGTAGATCTGGCTTGGACTAACCATGAGGTTTTATCATCCTCTTCATTTATAGTACATGATAAATTATGTCTCAAGACTGAAGTATCTTTCTTATTAGTTACTTTAAAACATTTAGATGAACACTTTTTTTTTAAAAAGTTCCTAAATCATGTTTGTATATTTTCATCTTGCAGTCTCAGGGATTTAGAGACGCTGTTGCTACTGCATGTTCATTGAAAACAGAAGGTTCACTGAATTCCCGGAAGCGGTCCCGAGAACCTGGGGAAGAACAGTAACCCAGGAACTAATCTCAAATATGCAAATACATTGATGCTATAAAATTCAGTGTGTACAAGTAATAGACTGTGGCATGAATGAAACAAAATTATTTGAAGTGAATGGGAAAAATAGCTAACAAATATCAGTCTTTGAAAAAGTTTTACAAGTTCTACAGTTATACTTTTCCCTGTTTTAATTTTCAGTAACATTAAATAGAGAAGATATAAGTATTATATTTCATAAATGTGGAAAACTTATTTATTGGCCAGGTTATTGTTCAGACTTTTTCTTCTTTCTTGCCAATAACTTAGAAGATCCTAAGAAAATGTTATTTTCATATTTTTATTGTGTTCTCTTTAAATGTAGCTTTGATAATTCTTTTTTTAATCTGAATTGCATTCATGATTTTTTTTTTAAAAGATGTATTTATTTATTTGAAAGTCAAAGTTACAGAGAGAAGGAGAGGCAGAGTAAGAGAGAGAGAGAGGCTTCCATTCGTTGGTTCATTCCCCAACAGGCCACAATAGCCAGAGCTGTGCCGATCCGGAGCCAGGAGCTTCTTCCGGGTCTCCCACATGGGTATAGGAGCCGAAGGACTTGGGCCATCTTTTACTGCTATCCCAGGCCATAGCAGAGAGCTGGATTGGAAGTGGAGCAGCTGGGACTAGAACCAGCACCCATATGGGATTCCAGCAGTGCTGGCTTTACCCGCTATGCCACAGCGTCCACCCTGATAATTCTTTTTTGAAAAACTTTTTTTGAAATATTTATTAATTTATTTGAAAGGCAGTGTTACAGAGAGGCAAAGGCAGAAAGAGAGAGAGGTCTTTCATCTGCTGTTTCACTCCTCAGATGGCCACAACAGCTGGAGCTAGGCTTATTTGAAGCTGGGAGCGTCTTCCAGGTCTTCCACGTGGATGCAGGGGCCCAAGGACTTGGGTCATCTTCCACTGCTTTCCCAGGCCATAGCAGGGAGCTGGATCGGAAGTGGAGCAGCTGGGACCTGAATTGGCGCCCATATGTGTTGCTGGCACTGCAGGCAGCAGCTTTACCCACTATGCCACAGTGCTGACTCCTTTGATAATTCTTGAAAATGACCTATTTTTATTATTATAAAAAGAAATCAGCACTGTGTATCATTATGTTCAGTTTTATGAGTAGGATACACATTTTAGATGACCAAATTTATTTTGGTGACCTCAATTCTAAAATCTAAGCCATTTGTTTAAATTTTTAAAAAAGATTTATTTATTTGAAAGTCAGAATTACCCACAGAGAGAGAAGGAGAGGCACAGAGAGAGAGAGGGAGGTCTTCCATCTGCTGGTTCACTCCCCAGTTGGCTGCAACGGTCAGAGCTGCACTGATCCAAAGCCAGGAGCCAGGAGTCTCTTCCAGGACTCCACGTGGGTGCCGGGATCCAAGGAATTGGGTCATCTTCCACCTCTTTCCCAGGCCATAGCAGAGAGCTGGATCTGAAGTAGAGCAGCTGGGACTCCAACCGGCGCCCATATGGGAAGCTTAACCTGCTACTCCACAGTGCTGGCCCCTTGTTTAGTTTTTTTTTGGTGTAATTTTGTAATGTTAAGGGGAGGACATTGAAGCTATTATATAGAAATTGTTTGGGGGCTGGCATTGTGGTATAACAGGTTAAGCCATTGCCTGCAATGCTGGCATCACATATGGGCAATGGTTTGAGTTCTGGCTGCTTCACTTCTGATCCAGCTCCCTGCTAATGGCCTGGGAAAGCAATGGAAGATGGCCCAAGTGCTTGGGCCCCTGTAGCCACGTACGAAACCTTTAAGATGCTCCTGGATCCTAGCTTTTGCCTGGTCCAGCCCTGTCTGTTGCAGCCATTTGGGGAGTAAACCAGCAGATGGAAAATCTCTCTAACTGCCTTTCAAATAAATAAAGTAAACTTTAAAAACTGGAAAAGAAATGGTTTGGAATATATGTCTTCCAGAATAGTCATATTGATAAGCTTACAATTATTTTTGTTCACATTTTAGGACACTTTTGAAACATGGTGGGATCCATTTTAGAATGCTTGGTATATTGACATTTTCCTTTGAAAATCTTTACCCTTGGGGCTGGCGCTGTGGCACAGTGGGTTAATGCCCTGGCCTGAAGCACCAGCATCCCGTATAGGCGCCGGTTCGAGTCCTAGCTGCTCCACTCCCTATCTAGCTCTCTGCTATGGCCTGGAAAAGCAGGAGAAGATGACCCAAGTCCTTGGGCCCTTGTACCTGTGTGGGAGACCCGGAAGAAGCTCCTAGCTCCTGGCTTCGGATCAGCAGAGCTCTGGCTGTTGCGGCCATCTGGGGAGTGAACCAGCGGATGGAAGACCTCTCTCTTTGTCTCTGCCTCGCTCTGTAACTCTGTCTTTCAAATAAATAAAATAAATCTTTAAAAAAATTTTAAAAAGAGGAAACAGCATGTTAAAAATAACACATTTATAAAAAGAAAAAGAAAAAAGAAAATCTTTACCCTGCCTGAATAAATTAAAATTTTCAATTATTGAATGGTTTCAAAATCATCCAAAAATGTTTTGGTACTTAGATGTTCTGAATCCATTCAAAACTTTGGTTTCCTGTGATGAGATATATTTAAATAACCAATTATTATATACTGTAATAACAGTATTTTTCAGATTTTAGTGGTAGGTGGTATATCCTGTCCCAAGTAAACGCTAAATTTATAAAATTTTTTCAGCATGGGCTGGCGCCGTGGCTCACTTGGTTAATCCTCCACCTGCGGCTCTAGCATCCCATATGGGCACCGGGTTCTAGCCCCAGTTGCACCTCTTCCAGTCCAGCTCTCTGCTGTGGCCTGGGAAGGCAGGTGGAGGATGGCCCAAATGCTTGGGCCTCTGCACCCACATGGGAGACCAGGGAGAAGCACCTGGCTCGTGGCTTTGGATTGGCACAGTGCCGACTGTAGCGGCCGTTTGGGGAGTGAACCAACAGAACAAAGACCTTTCTCTCTGTCTTTGTCTCTCATTGTCTATAACTCTACCTGTCAAATAAAAAAATTAATTAATTTAAAAAATTTCTTCAGTATAAGCATTCTGTAAATGATTATACATAGAATAGCCACAGTTTACCAAGATGTTTTGAGAGTAAAAGCAGGTACTGGTTAATAATTATACCAGTATAGTGGACATAAGCCAGGTTGTCCAGGAAAATCAAATATGTGGTCATTCTAACTATATAAGACTAATTTCAAATGACTACTGAGGGGCCGGCGCCACGGCTCACTTGGGCTAATCCTCCGCCTACAGTGCCGGTACCCCAGGTTCTAGTCCTGGTTGAGGCACCGGATTCTGTCCCAATTGCTCCTCTTCCAGTCCAGCTCTCTGCTGTGGCCCAGGAAGGCAATGGAGGATGGCCCAAGTGCTTGGGCCCTGCACCCGCATGGGAGACCAGGAGAAGCACCTGGCTCCTGGCTTCGGATCACCTGTCGCAGCAGCCATTTTGGGGGTGAACCAGTGGAAGGAAGACCTTTCTCTCTGTCTCTCTCTCTCTCACTGTCTAACTCTGCCTGTCCAAAAAAAAAAAAAATAATAAAATAAAAAAGAAAAGAAAAGAAATAATGATCGGGGTTAGCGCTATGGTTTAGTGTGTAAAGCTGGTGCCTACAGTGCTGGCATTCCATATGGGCGCCTGTTTGTGTCTTGGCTGCTCCACTTCCAATCCAGCTCTCTGCTATAGCCTGGGAAAGCAGTAGAAGATGGCCCAAGTCCTTGGGCCCCTGCACCTGCATGGGAGACCTAGAGGAAGCTCCTGGCTCCTGGCTTCGGATTGACACAGCTCCAGCCATTGCGGCCAATTGGGTAGTGAACCAGTGGATGGAAGACACACACACACACACACACACACACACACACATACTCATACTCTCTCTCTCTCTCTCTCTCTCTCCCCCCTCTCCCCCTCCCCCCTCCCCCTCTTCCTCTCTCTCTCCCCCTCTCCCCCCCCCCTTCCTCTCTTCCTCCCCTCCCTCCCTCTCCCTCTCCTCCCTCTCCTCTCTCTGTATAACTCTGACTTTCAAATAAATACATAAATATATAAATATTTTTTAAAAAGCATGATCCTTGGATGATTCATATCCAAATTAAAAATTGAAAAGCATTGTGATAGACTTATGCTACCATTTAAAACAAATTTTTATGTAAATGAATTTATTAATACATTAGAATCTCAGAGTGACAACAAATGCATGATATAAAACAATTAAAATTTTTTGTCATTTGTTTATTTGAATGAGAGAGACCTCCCATTAGCCAGTTGCTCCCCAGATACCCTCAATAGCCAGTGCTGTTGGTCAAAGCCAGGAACCTGGAATTTGTGTCTCACACATGGGTGGCAAGGACCTAACCACTTGAGCCAACACTTGCTTCCTCCCAGGGTGTGTATTAGCAGGAAGGTTGGGAATCAGGGGTGAAGCCAGGATTTGAACCCAGATACTCTGATAGGGAATGCAAGTATCACAAGCAGTGGCTTAACTACTGTACCAAATGCATGCCTCTGTGCTACTATTTTTAAAAAATATTTATTTATTTGAGAGGTAGAATTATAGAATAAGAGGGAGAGACACAGAGAAAGGTGTTCCATCCTCTTGTTCACTTCCCAAACGGCTACAACAGCTGGAGCTGAGCTGATCTGGATCCAGGAGCCAAGAGCTTTTTCTTGGTCTCCCACACAGGTGCAGGGACCCAAGCACTTGGGCCATCTTCCAGTGCTTTCCCAGGCTATAAGCAGAGAGCTGGACTGGAAAAGGAACAGAATGAGACACGAACTGGTACCCATATAGGATGCCAGTGCCACACTGCCTTCTACGCATAGCCTTGGCCCCTGTGCTACCGTTTTTAAAATGCATTCATAAATGGTCATTCCCATTTTTGAAACCATGAATAAAAGTTCCTTAGTTTTTTGGAAACTTTGATTTTCAAAGATGATTATTTCTTATTCAGTTATTAAATATACATAAATACATACTTTCTCCTGCCCCCAGCATTATCTGTTAGTTGGTTTTAGCTCATTATGTGATAGTACTTGTACTCTCCACAATTTGTATGGGCTTGCCACCTAATGTAAAATTGTTTAAAATCCTACTTGCTGATAGATCAGTGATTGCATTCAGATTTCATCAAAAATATAATCAAAACATTATATTGCCTTTTATTGTATTTCATGCCATTGCTGAAATTCATCCTTTCTGGCAATGAATTTACATACATAAATAAACTTGCAGGCATAAACAAAACCATTTATTTGCAGTGTCTTTTTTATTTTACTTTCACTTTATAGTATGAGTTGGCCACAGTAAAACACAAGCCATTAATGTAATCTAAAAATTACTCATTCTGGGAAGAAAAATACTACTAACCGTTCACAATTTGCTTTGCTTTGAGAAATTCTTTCTACTCTGTGTACTTTGGAAATGAATTTGAGTCTAAAAAAGTTCTTTATTTGTTTTAAAGATTTATTGATTGATTTATTCATTTATTTGGAAAGCAGAATGACACAGTGAGAGACAGACTCCCCAGTCTGCTGGTTCACTCCTTAAATGGCTGCCAGTGGTCAGGGCTGGGCCAAGGCAAAGCCAAAAGACAGGAACTCCATCTTGGTCTCCCATTTGAGTGGCATGGGCCCAAGTACTTGGGCCATCTTCTGCTGCCTTCCCAGGATCAGAAGTAGAGCAGGGGCTGGCACTGTGGTACAACAGGTAAAAGTTCTGGGATGCCAGCACTGCAGGCCAAGGCATTAACCCACTGCGCCACAGCACTGGCTGCACTGTGGTACAACAGGTAAAAGTTCTGGCCTATAGCGCCAGCATCCATCCCATATGGGTGCCCGTTCGAGTCCCAGCTGCTCTACTTCTTATCCAGCTCCTTGCTAATGTGCCTGGGAAAGCAGTGGAGGATGACCCAATTGCTTGGGCCCTTGCACCCACGTGGGAGACCTGGATGAGACTCCTGGCTCCTGGTTTCGAATCGGATTGACTCAGCTCTCATCATTGTGTTCATTTGAGGAGTGAACCAGTGGATGGAAGATTGGTCTCTCTCTGCCTCTCTTTAGCTCTGCCTTTCAAATAAATAAATAAATCTTTTGTTTTTTTAAGCAGCTGGCAGTCTGATACGGGATAGTGGCATTGCAAGTAGCAGCATAACTCACTCTACCAGAACACTGGCCTCCCTCAATTAAGTTACTAAATATATAAAATTTGAATTATAGAATTAAATGCTCAGGTAAACTGTTCAGGGTTTTGTTTATTTTAAAAAAGGCTTAAGGATTCAAATGCAATTATTGTAGACCTTATTGCTGGAAGAAACCCTAAAGATCATCTCACGAATATCACTAATTGATCATAAATTTCTATACTTTTTCAAATGTGCAGATTTCTTTGGCTAATTTTTTTAATTAAAAAAAATTTTTTTTTAAATTTTTTGACAGGCAGAGTGGACAGTGAGAGAGAGACAGAGAGAAAGGTCTTCCTTTGCCGTTGGATCACCCTCCAATGGCCGCCGCGGCAGGTGCGCTGCTGCCGGCGCACCGCGCTGATCCGATGGCAGGAGCCAGGTGCTTCTCCTGGTCTCCCAGGGGGTGCAGGGCCCAAGCACTTGGGCCATCCTCCACTGCCCTCCCGGGCCACAGCAGAGAGCTGGCCTGGAAGAGGGGCAACCGGGACAGAATCCGGCGCCTCGACTGGGACTAGAACCTGGTGTGCCAGCGCCGCAAGGCGGAAGATTAGCCTAGTGAGCCATGGCGCTGGCTAATTAAATTTTTTTTTGACAGGCAGAGTTAAACAGTGAGAGACAGAGAGTTATAGACAGTGAGAGAGAGACAGAGAGAAAGGTCTTCCTTTTGTTGGTTCACTCCCCTAATGGCCGCTACGGCTGGCGCTGCACTGATCCGAAGCCAGGAGCCAGGTGCTTCCTCCTGGTTTCCCATGTGAGTACAGGGCCCAAGCATTGGGCCATCCTCCACTGCCCTCCCGGGCCACAGCAGAGAGCTGGACTGGAAGAGGAGCAACCAGGACTAATACCCGGCACCCCAACCGGGACTAGAACCCAGGGTGCTGGTGCTGCAGGTGGAGGATTAGCCTAGTGAGCCATGGCGCTGGCCCTTGCTATTTTTTTTTTAAAGATTTTATTTAGGCTGACGTCGCAGCTCAATAGGTTAATCCTCCGCCTGCAGCACCGGCACCCCAGATTCTAGTCCCTGTTGGGGCACCAGATTCTGTCCCAGTTGCTCCTCTTCCAGTCCAGGTCTCTGCTGTGGCCCAGGAGTGCAGTGGAGGATGGCCCAAGTGCTTGGGCCCTGCACCCGCATGGGAGACCAGCACCTGGCTCCTGGCTTTGGATCAGTGCAGTGTGCCAGCCACAGCGGCCATTGCGGGGTGAACCAATGGAAAAGGAAGACCTTTCTCTCTGTCTGTCTCACTGTCTAACTCTGCCTGTCAAAAAAAAAAAAAAAAAAAAAAAGATTTTATTTATTTGAGAGGTAGAGTTACAAACAGTGAGAGGGAGAGACAGAGAGGTCTTCCTTCTGTTGAGTTACTCCCCAAATAGCCACAATGGCCAGAGCTGAGCCAATCTAAAGCTATCAGGCAGGAGTTTCCTCTGGGTCTTCCATGTGGGTGCAGGGACCCAAGCACACAGGGTATCTACTACAGCTTTCCCAGGCCATAACAGAGATCTGTATCTGGAGAGGAGCATCCAGGACTAGAACCAGTGCCCATATGGGATGCTTGGCACCTCAGGCAGAGGATTAACCTACGCCAGTCCCTCTTTTGCTAATTCTTTCTTGGTTTTACAAAGACCTTTTATTGAATTGTCTTTTTTCCCCAAAGTATTAATGACTTTTAGCTTTAATTTTAAGTATATACTCAAAACTTTAGCATGTTTATATAGTGTTCTATATTTATGGAACTTTTTTTTGAAGATTTATTTATTTATTTGAAAGTCAGAATTACACAGAGAGAGGAGAGGCAAAGAGAGAGGTCTTCCATCTGATAGTTCACTCCCCAGTTGGCCACAACAGCCAGAGCTGCGCTGATCCGAAGCCAGGAGCTAGGTCTTCTTCTGGGTCTCCCACATGGGTGCAGGGGCCCAAGGACTTGGGCCATCTTCTACTGTTATCCCAGGCCACAGCAGAGAGCTGGATGGGAAGAGGAGCAGCCAGGTCTTGAACTGGTGCCCATATGGGATGCTTGTGCTTCAGGGCAGGTCATTAACCCACTGTGCCACAGCGCCAGCCCTGAACACTTTTACATCATTTCATTTTATCCTTTTAGCAACTCTGTATAGTAGACATGGTAGGCTGGCCTGTTTTCTTCCCTCCCTCCTTCCTTCCCTTCTTTGCTGCCTTCCCTCTCCTAACACTATTTACTACTTGTTGAATCAATAAATATCCAAATAAGATTTAGAACAGGTTCTTTTTCAAATGGCCAGATAAAAATAATATTTGGTCATATGTAAGTTGGTGTTTCTGAGTAAATTTAAAAATACATAGTTTAGAGGTGAGCATTTGTCATAACAAGTAAGATACAAGTTAGGGCACTCATATCCCTCATCAGAGTGCCTGGGCTCAATTCTTGGCTCTTCCCTGTCTGATACCCTGGGAGGCAGGTGATGACTCAGTAGTTAGGTCCCTACCACTCCCATGAGAGAACTGAATTGAGTTCCTAGTTCCTGACTTCAGTTCCTGGACATTGCAGGCATTTTGGGAGCGAATAAATGTATGAGAGCTGTCTCTAAAAATTTTAAATATGTCATTGTTTTTGGTTTTAATTTTGCCTTTTTATTGTAAAGCTGCTATAATATGAAATTTGCCATTTTAACCTTTTGCAAATGTACTATTAAGTGACAGTTACATTCACAATGTTGTATATCCATTAGTTTTCTAAAATTTTTCATCACCCTAAAAAGAAACTCTGTACTCATTAGGCAATACCTTCCCATTCTCCTCTTCCCTAGGTCCTAATAATCTATTCCACTTTCTGTTTCTATGAATTTTATATTGTATTTAAATGGAATAATTTTGTGTGTGTGTCTAGATTATTTCACTTAATATGTCTCTAAGGCTGATACATATTGTGGCATGTATAAGTACTTCATCCCTTCTAATGGCTGTATAATATACCCTTGTATATAATATTTACATTCCCGTGTTTGTATGTTAACCTTTCATCTGTTGATAGACATGAGTTAATTTTTAAATATTTATTTTATTTTATTTGAAAGACAGTTACAGAGAGGTAGAGAAAGAGAGAAAGGTCTTCCATCCACTGGTTCACTCCCCAGATGGCCGCAATGGCCGGAGCTCTGCCGATCTGAAGCCAGGAGTCAGGAGCTTCTTCCAGGTCTCCCACGCAGGTGCAGGGGCCCAAGGACTTGGGCCATCTACTGCTTTCCCAGGCCATAGCAGAGAGATGTGTTGGAAGAGGAGCAGCCGGGACTAGAACCAGCACCCATATGGGATGCTGGTGCTTCAGGCCAGGGCTTTAATCCACTGTGCCACAGCGCTGGCCCCAGACATGAGTTATTTTTAATAGTGTTCTGTTGGTTTATACATTTATGTATGTAACATTTGTTGTTTCTTAAACCTTTTTTAAAAGATTTATTTTATTTATTTGAAAGAGAGAGAGAGAAAGGTCTTCCATCTACTGGTTCACTGCCCAAATGGCCACAACAGCTGGAACTGAGCCAGTCTGAAGCCAGGAGCCAGGAGCTTCCTCCAGATCTCCCACATGGGTGCAGATGCCAAAGGACTTGGGCCATCCTCCACTGCTTTCCCAGGTGCATTAGGGAGTTGGATTGGAAGTGGAGCAGCCAGGACTCGAACTGGCACACAGATGGAATGCTGGTGCTGCAGGCCAGAGCTTTTTTTTTTTTTTTTTTTTTTTTTTTTAATTTTTTGACAGGCAGAGTGGACAGTGAGAGAGAGAGACAGAAAGAAAGGTCTTCCTTTGACGTTGGTTCACCCTCCAATGGCCACTGCAGCTGGCGCGCTGCAGCCGGCGCACCGCGCTGATCCGAAGGCAGGAGCCAGGTACTTATCCTGGTCTCCCATGGGGTGCAGGGCCCAAGTACTTGGGCCATCCTCCACTGCACTCCCAGGCCACCGCAGAGAGCTGGCCTGGAAGAGGGGCAACCGGGACAGAATCCGGCGCCCTGACCAGGACTAGAACCTGGTGTGCCGGCGCCGCAAGGCGGAGGATTAGCCTAGTGAGCCGCGGCGCCGGCCTGCAGGCCAGAGCTTTAACCTGCTATGCCACAGCACCGGCCCCTTCCTGATGAACTTTGAACTTTTTTTTTTTTTTTTTTTTTGACAGGCAGAGTGGACAGTGAGAGAGAGAGACAGAGAGAAAGGTCTTCCTTTGCCGTTGGTTCACCCTCCAATGGCCGCCGCGGAGGCGCGCTGCGGCCGGCGCACCGCGCTGATCCGATGGCAGGAGCCAGGAGCCAGGTGCTTTTCCTGGTCTCCCATGGGGTGCAGGGCCCAAGCACCTGGGCCATCCTCCACTGCACTCCCTGGCCACAGCAGAGGGCTGGCCTGGAAGAGGGGCAACCGGGACAGAATCTGGCGCCCCGACTGGGACTAGAACCCGGTGTGCCGGCGCCGCTAGGCGGAGGATTAGCCTAGTGAGCCGCGGCGCCAGCCCTGAACTTTGAACTTTTTATGTGCTTAAAAACAGATTATCTGTTCCCATCCATTGGGTTCCCACCCAACTGCCCGCAGTGACCAGGACTGGGTTGGGCAAAGCCAGGAGCCCACAATGTGCCCACAATGCAATCCATATCTCCCACATGGGTGGCAATAACAATTCCTTGAGCCATCACTGCTGCTTCCCAGGGTCTGCATTAGTAGGAAACCAGAGCTAGATTATCTGCCTTTTTTTTTTTTTTTTAAGATTTTATTTTATTTGAGAGTTAGAGTTACAGACAGTGAGATGGACCATCTTCTACTGCTTTCCCAGGCCATAGCAGAGAGCTGGACTGGAAGTGGAGCAGCTGGGACTAGAACCGGCAGCCATATGGGATGCCGGCACCGCAGGCGGAGGATTAACCTACTGTGCCACAGTGCCGGCCCCAATATCTGCCTTCTTTACTCATGTTATTTATTAAGTTTGGAGCAATTGATTTGAAATATTTTCAGACAGTTCTACTAGCTTAAATTTTAACCCAAATAGATTTTTCTTCATTTCATTGATTAGTTCTTTTTTTTCCCTATTTTCTTTTACTTGTTAATAATGTTCTTATTAAAATGTTTACAACTAGTGATAAAATTACAGGATAATGTGGTAGCTATTTAGGGAGTTAACCAGTAGATGGAAGATCTCTCTTTGTGTCTTTCTTTAACACTGCCTTTCAAATAAATATGTACATCTTTAAAAAAAAATGAGACTTAAAATGATTGCTTACATTTTTAAAAAAGATTTATTTATTTATTTATTTATTTGAAAGTCAGAATTACACAGAGAGAGGAGAGGCAGAGAGGGAGAGAGAGTGGTCCTCCATCTGATGGTTCACTATCCAGATGGCCACAGTGGGCGGAGCTGCGCCAATCTGAAGCCAGGAGCCAGGAGCTTCCTCTGGGTCTCCCATGCAGGTGCAGGGGCCCAAGGATTTGGGCCGTCTTCTACTGCTATCCCAGGCCACAGCAGAAAGCTGGATCGGAAGAGGAGCAGCCGGGACTAGAACCGGTGCCCACATGAGATGCTGGCGCTTCAGGCCAGGGCGTTAACCCGTTGTGCCACAGCGATGGCCCTGATGATTGCTTAAATTAATTAGTTTCTGCTTTTGTAGAGGCATTATTACCCATTTTATTTTTTATTTAGAAAATTTTTTTCCTCAGTTCTAATGTTAGTACAAAGAGAACAGATTCCATGGAATTCCTAGACACAATTCCAAGAATATAATACTTTCCTTCCTCATTCCCTCCCTCCTTCCTGTTACTCACTTTCAGTGATCAATCCTGGAAGTATGGAAAAGAGTGACATTTATATATTTTTATTTTCAAAATCAGTAATACTAGGGTTCTCATTGCAAAAAGAATTGTAGTTTAAGATGTAATATTGAAATGCTCTCTTTCAAAAAAAACATTGATTTGCAGAGGAGAGGCTGGCTGTTCGTAATATGTATTTTTAGTTAACATCAGTGCCTAAAATTACTGTTACTGTTAAAATTTACAGAACATTTTGCTCTGTCAGAACTGATTTTGGCATTAAAAAATGTTGACAGGATTTCATGTATTTTTGACCACAGTATATTCCTTTGCCTGTTTTCAGTTTTAGTTCACCATTAGCATAGACCTTTTTGTGTTTTAACTATCCATTTGACTCCCATTATGTGTAGTAAGATGTGAGTTTTTAGATACACCATTACTTTGATAGTGACTTTATGTGTAGCTTATTTTATGAGGACATAAAAGATGAGCTCACTGAGAGGGACTTAACTCAAAAAAATTATGGCTTACATGTTTTCAAAATAAAAAATTACAAAATAAAGGCAAACGTGAAGTAGCAAAATAATTTGTATCAAGAAGTACATAAAACAAGACAAAAAGGAAAACATAATTGGTTACATAATTCCTGCGGTCTAATGATAGGAAATATACCAGTTGTTAAAAGAGAAAAAAAATGTTTTCTGATCTTTTATTTATTTATTTATTTATTTATTAAGTAATAGTTGTCCAAGATTTAATTTCAAAAAGCAGAATATTTTAAATTGAGTTAAAAGTAAATCTTTTTGTCTTCCATGCCTTACTCAGTTTCTTTTTGGGAGGCAGCCACCATTACCATATTCTTCTGTGAGTCTCCCTGGATCTAAAATATGTATTTTTTTCTTCAACACTCTAAAGTAATATGTATGCTCTTCCACACTTTGTTGCTTCTTAAAAATGATTATTTATTTAGAAGGGCAGAGAAAGAGACCTTCTATCTGCTGGTTTCCTCCTCAGATATCCTCAACATTCAGGTCTGGGGCAGCGCAAAGCCAGGAGCCATTCTGGTCTTCCACATGGGTGGCAGGGGTCCAAGTACTTGGGCAGTCATCCGCTGCTTTCCCAGGCTCATTAGCAAGGAGCTGGATTCAAAGCAGAGTAGCTGGGACTTGAACCATGTTTTGTTTTTATATCAGAACATGTTAGCATTTTATCAGTTAACTGCTGTGTGTTTTCCACAGAGAGAATATGCTGTTATTTAATAATTTTTGTTGATGAACATTTAGGTTAAGTTCAGTTTTTCTAAGTAATTGATCAGAATGCATGTACATTTAAAATTTTGATAAATGTTGCCAAATTATCCTCTGGACTACTTGTTTACACCTCCACAAGTGATGTTTGGGAGTGCCTCTTTCTCTACAGTCTTGACAACACAATATTTATTTATTTTGCCAATTTGGGAAGTTTTCCTTTTTTTTTTTTTTAGATTTTTTTTTATTTGACAGAGTTATAGACAGTGAGAGAGAGAGAGAAAGGTCTTCCTTCCATTGGTTCACTCCCCAAATGGCCGCAATGGCTGGGGCTGCACTGATGCTGATCTGAAGCCAGGAACCAGGCGCACTTCTTCCTGGTCTCCCACGTGGGTGCAGGGGCCCAAGGACTTGGGCCATCTTCTACTGCTTTCCCAGGCCATAGCAGAGAGCTGGACTGGAAGTGGAGCAGCCAGGACTAGAACCGACGCTCATATGGGATGCTGGTGCCGCAGACGGATTAACCTACTGCACCACGGCGCAAGCCCCTGGAAGTTTTTCTAAAATGACAGAGCGTAGGGCAGGCATTTTGGTGCTGCAGGTTAGGCCACTGCTTGTGACTTAGGCATTCCATATTGGATTGCTGCCAGCTACTCCACTTTTTTGATCCAGCTCCCTGCAAATGTACATGGGAATGTAGCAGAGGATGGCCTAGGTACTTGGACACTGGCCACCCATGTGGGAAACCAGGATGAAGTTTCTGGCTCCTGGCTTCAGCCTGAACCAGACCTGGCTGTTCGGGCTGTTTGAGGAGTGAACCAATCGATGGAAGATCTCTGTCTCTCCCTCTCTGTTGCTCTGTTTTTCAAATAATAAATATTTTTAAAAAACAAAATGACATAGTGTGATTTCACATTTTTCTTAGTTACATCAGACTAATTTTTTTTAAGATTTATTTTACTTATT